AATAGTGTTTACGCGAGACACAAATTTGGTTCCCCACACAATTCAAGTGTCCCTTCCAAATATAGATTTTTTTTTTCATGTGGTACCAATGACTGAAAATGTGGGCCACACACACAGAATAAATTCAGTACCATGAGAACTGTGCATTATGGTATTACTTAGAATGTCTCCTCAGTGGTTTTCCTCAGAGTATTGAGATTAAGTATAATTTTAGCTCATTGTTGACTGTAGATGACAAAGGAGAGTGGAAAATGTGAATAAAATATATCAAAGAACACTCACTTTTACCTTGTCAACTAAATGTAGTTATTATGCGCCAGACTCTGTCATAGACTCTACAGGGTGGACAAAATTGAATAAAAAGCAGTCTTTTTCTCAAGGAGCTTTATATCTAGCAGGGAACATGAGATAATGCACAACTGACTAAATTACAAGGAAAGGTATGTTACATGCCACAAGTGAGCTTACAAGCAATGCACCATGGTGGTTTAAAGCAGAAGAATGGCCAGGAAGTGTTAAGTGGAGGAAATAGGTATGTGTCTTCAAAAGTGTGGGAGCTGGGAAGATGGTGGCCCCATCTGTGGATATATGGAAGTTGGGAGGAAGGGTAGGTTTGCCTGAGAATGTGTGAGTTTGAGAAATCAATGGAACATAGTAATCATGATGTCCTAGAGGTAGAATTTGAGACTAGGAATGTGGATGGACATGTAGGGATAATAGAAGTTGTGGAGGGGGTGAGATCACCAAGAAAAACTACATAGAGAGAGAGAAAAAATATTACAGGGAACCTTGAGGGAAAACCTAATTTTAGGGCACAGGAGAAAGAAGAGAAAATGAAATTAAGATTCTGAAGGAATGGTCTGGGTAGTAGTAGAAACTGGAGAGTGCAGTGTGATCGAATTTAAGAAAAAATTTCAGGAAGAAGTTGAGCAACACTGAAGACTATAAGTGAAGGCTCTAAGCTCTTTATATGTCAGATAAAAAAAAATAAATGAAGGCTCAAGGAGGATGAAGACAGAAGAAAATGGGATTTAGTGATGAGAAGGTGGTCGATAAGAGAGCAGCTTCAGTAGAATGGTGGGAACAAAGGCCAGATCAATTACTAAGAATTTGCTGAAGTATACAAAACAAATGACACAAAGATCACAATTTTTCTTGTTAGGACAACTACTCTGTCCTTTAAGGGCATGGAAATAACGCAGTAGCAGAGGGATTATTTTACAATGGATTAAGCATTAAAACATACCACCATTTGGGGAGGTTATCTGAGTCTTTCTCACACATGCTGATGTAAACCCTTTTTTGAGATAATGGAGTGGCTGGTCTTCACACTTGTTATTCACACTTGTTAATAGTCCAGATTAGATGTCTGGAATAGGTCATGGAAAATAGCAGAGAAGATTCCACTTCAAAGGGTTTAGCATGTGAAACTACTTTAGTCATTGATTTTTTTCTCTGTCTTGGAGTACTGATTTCTCCTCCTGACTTGTGTGCTTCTCTTTGGACCCCAAGCTTTTTTCTTTAACAGTGTTTTTGAGTGGTGGCAGAGGAAACAATGGGGTGATGGTTACAAAACAACACGGCAAACCTCCCTTTTGCTTTCCGCAGAATTCACCAGCTGATGATTATGGAAATGACAGGAAGATTGCAACAACAGTATCTTTTATTTCTATATCACTTTCTACTCTTAAAACATTTGCATATATGCTCTCCTTTGACCACAAATCAGTCCTATGGGGATAAACAGAAATCTTTTAGATGGGAATAAATAGGTAGAGAGGATAGATGATTTGTTTATTGGCTCTTTCCAGCACCATTGTCAATGTTATCTTCTTTTTTTAAGGCTAGTTTTCTTCCCTGGTTAAATTGAAGATATGTAGATACACAGTATTTCGATATCATTGTTTTTTTAAAACCTATGTGCTAATTGGGTAGTCAGATATAATCCCTGACATCTCCCTGAGACTAAAACACCCTCAATGATACTCTACGTAAAAGAATAAACAGTGGAAACAGCATTGAGATAAAATTAGAGAATTATTTTTATTTATTGAAATTAATACTGAAAGTGGAATGTCCCAACATGTAACGGGTTAGAAGGAGGCAGTTTGACTTTATCTTAATCCTGAAGGGTCTTCCCTCTTTCAAATGGACAACTCTTCTATAAAAGCCCTTACCTGGGGGATAAATAGTGAGAGTTATTTAGAGTTAAAGAAGAGGACTGGAGATAAAAAGGGGAAGTTGAAGAGGAGGAGACTCATTCACCCCTGAATTCTTTCATTCATCCATTCCTTAACATTTATAGATACCACTGTATGCTAGATATTGTGCTAGATCTGGGTATGTGGAGTTGCTTTAGTGAAGGACTTTCTGACAGAAGAAGAGGACATACTTTTCTTTTGAGAGGCAAAGTTTTTCCTGAAAGGCCTAAACCACCCTGGCATTGGAGAAGAGTTTGCTGGTAGTTAGTGACTGAAAGAACGAAGAAAGGAGGAGAGACTGACAGTGTAATTCCTGAACAGTATGGGGAGTAGGCTGCCACTGCAGCTGTCAGGAATCTTGGCGACCCTCAGGAAGGCAGGCGGGTTGAGGAGGGTTGGAGAGCTCTCAGTCACAGTTTTGAGTTTGAGCCACTGCTGGGCCTCAGTAAATGGTTGGGGTACTGTGCTTTGATTATCCTGCACCAAGAAGACTTCACAATAGGCCCAAAGAGAAGATGTGAAGAACAGCTTCTAATTTGAAACCAAGAGGACATTTAGAAATGAATCCAGACATTTTTAAGGGAAAGCCTCGTATGCTGTTGGTAGGAATGTAAATTAGTATAACCACTATGGAGAATAGTATGGAAGTTTCTCAAAATACTAAAAATAGAACTACTATATGATTCAGCAATCCCTATGCTAGGTATATCCAAAAGAAGAGAACTTAGTGTATCAAAAAGATGTCTGTACTTCCATGTTTATTGCAGCACTATTTACAATAGCCAAGATTTGGAATCAATCTAAGTGTCCATCAATGGATGAACTGATAAAGAAATTGTGGTATATATACACAATCGAATATTATATAGCCATAAAAAGAACAAAATCCTGCTATTTGCGATAACATGGATAGAACTGGAGAACATTATGTTAAGTGAAATAAGCCAAGCACAAAAAGACAAATCTTGCATGTTCTTATTCATATGTCTGAGCTAAATATTAAAAACAATTGATTTCATGGAAACATGGAATGATGGTTACCAGAGTTTGGGAAGTGTAGTGGGGAGTGGGCATAAAGTGGGGATAGTTAATGGGTACAACAATGTAATTAGATAGGTAGAATGGACAATATCTGATAGCACAACAAAGTGACTATAATCAACAGTAAGTTAGGGTATACTTTGAAAATAGTAGAATTGGAATGTTCCTAACACAAAGAAATGATAAATGGCTAAGGTGATGGATACCCCAATTACCCTGACTTGATTAATTCATATTGTATGCCTGTATCAAAACATCACATGTATCCTATAAATATATACAACTATTATGTACCATAATAATTAAAAATAAAAAATCTTTTCTATCGTATTCTTGATAGCAATGGTGCATTTTCAAAAAAACCAAAATATGCCAGGACTGCTCATGTTTCAACTAGTGTGTTGATTTAATTCTTACTCAAGGAGAAAATTGCCATGTGGGTCATCAACCCCAGTTTCTGTGGAATCAGATCTTTTTCCTTCTCTCTGAAAGCTCTTATATAAGAATTGTCCAGAGTTAAATGAGGGGTGACAAGTTCATAGCCCAGAAGGAGCATTGTGTCTCTGGGTCACCAAAACTTTGATCATCCATTCAACCCTTTAGCAGGGAATTTCCTGGAAAAATCTCTGGCTCCTAATGAGCAGTAGAAATACATGAATGGGAAGGCTAGATTTGGAGAGCTGTCTGTATGAGAAGAAAGTACACTGATACAGATGACAGAACGCAGATGTGTATTCTGTGAGTTGGCAGGACTGTGATTATGTTGATTGTGTTGACATTTGACAGTCAGAGCCTAGGACACGATGTCTTTGAGAAAGTGCTCTGAAGTTGGGTATATTTTTTTCCTGGTAGAGTTAGAGGTAGTGGTGAAAGTTATTGCATATTCTATGCTGATAAGAAAGACATAACCTCTATGGAGTTCAAAACATTGGCTGGCACCCCTCCTGGCTGATGAAGCAAGCTAGAATAACTAGTTCTACTGGGGATTATCTGAGCCAGTCTGCACAGATCCCTGACTATTATGAATCAGCACTTGTAAAGTTCCACAGGCAATAAGGAACAAGAAATACTGGTTTCTACCATCTGTTGGACTCAGAAGGACTGGGGTGACTAACTGACTGTAACAGCAGCCTCAGAACCTTTCTGGAAGAGGCAGAGTTTATAAATAAACAGAAAACAAACACAACTGATTCAATCTGAAATTTGTGGTTCTGGTTTGATGTGGTAGATATATTCAATGCAGCCTAAGAGAGAAAGCTGGGGTCTATACATCTATGAAATTACTAAAAGATTGCAATCACTGTTCAACATTGCCTATAGGAATCATATTCAGTATTGAGGACTTGTAATAATCATGTGATTAATAGAATGATTACGATAGTGTTCTGCAAATGAGAGTATGAAATGATAGTGAATGGAGACCAGTATGGCACATGTAATAAAACAAAATAAAAACATGCCAATAATAGTTTTCTTAGAGTATTAGCTATTCATTGCACATGCCTCCAAATTCTGTTTGTAATTGCAAATAATCTAGCATTATAAAATATTTTTTCATGTTTTACCTCTGTTTAAAACTAAAAATTCTCTTTTTAAAAAATAGCCAAGGCTCTTTACAATTTATCTTTCCTACTTTAAAAAAGAATAGAAGCAGCATCTCAGATTTTTTTAACAGTTTATGCGGTCCTCATGTGAAAGATGTATACGAAGGTGTACATATTTGCATTTTTAGGGCTTTTTGGAATTATAAACAGATGGTTAGCTCTGGGCCTGGAATTAGTGCTGTTTATTTCCCAGACTGATAGAGCAGAGGTTGTAGTTCCATACATGCCACCCTGATTCCCAGGATTAGGAATACAAAAGCTGATCTGTGGAGAGAGGGAGAGTTTTCTGGAGGCACGTGCAGCTGCCACTGGCACATGCCAGCACATTCGCCAGTCTGACAGCAGAAGTGATGTCCACTGTCACCCATTCACTTCAGGGTAAAGAGAGGCAGATGATGCCCACTTCTCCTTGTTAGCCGCACACAAGCAAGGGTAAAGCCAGGGTTCTCATGACCATTCCTTTTTCCTGGATCACTAGTTGTCAGATCTTGGATAACCATGAATTAGCCCCTGTAAGTCATCTGAATGAATACCTACTTTATTTTAAACGTAAGTTAAGTAAGGTCCTGTTAAAGATTGCTGTGCCAGGCTGCCTCCCTCCTACCTCCTTTTATTAGTGTTGCAACATGGAGATTTAAGTGGGTGATTTTTCTCTTTCCTTTCCATTTCTAGAATAAGTTCCATTACCAATAAGAATTGAACATTGTTTTGCTATTCCCAATACATTTAATACCATCTATTATTTTAATTGGCCTAGTCATTTCAGAATTTAAAGCAGTAAAGGCTCAAGCAAGCTTTATCAGGGAAGCCTGACAGCTGGGAAACTGGAAGAAAGAGAACAGTTCAAATCCACGTAGCTTCATTCAAATCACTCATGTACTGGCCTACGCCATAGTTCTTACACTGACCTTGGTTTAGAAAACTGTCAACTAACCTGCTTATCATCCAGATGCCTTGATTTAGCTCACCAAATTTCGTCCTTGGGCCTGTACATACTTGCAAATAATTTCTTCAATAATTTAGCATACATTACTGGTTGTCTCAGAGTATTTCAGTGATAACGTAATCGTCCTTATTTATAACTAGAAAGCTAGAATAATCCAGCAGCGGAAGCCGATGACTGGGAGGCAACTCACCAACGTCTTTCCATGGTCTTGCCAATATCAGACCAGAGGAACACAGGCAAATTACGAAATTCCTCTGGACAGTGTCACAGAAAAGCAGGAAGAATTTCAAAGCTGGGCCAGGAGGTACTGTTTAGGCGGAGGTATGAAACATAGTCACTGTTTAAGTAATTATATAAAAGCGTGCTTTTAGAGAAACAGTGAAATCTTTACAGCTTCTGATCGGACATTTGATGCGCCTCCCAATTTGTGCATTTCCCACTTGAATAGGGCTGGATCTCTTGGCTAGGATGGCCTCCTCCCTCAATTTCAGAAGTGTTAAAATAACAAGCAATGTCTGGCTGGGTGATTTTCCACAGTCGTCCTGTTTAAAGGAAGAAGCTTGTTCTACCGTCAACAGTTATGGGAACTGTTTGCTTTGGATGGGCTTGGTCCGCATGGGCTGAGGAGGGCCCCTGGTTTCTTACTCTGGTTTCTTGCCAAGGTGGAAATTCAGTGCCAAAGGCTTCCTTGTTCTGCTGAGGCATCCTCTAATTAGAATAAGTTTGGCCTGAAGAAAGTGTGTTGGAGAGCAGTAGGGATAGTAGCAGTGGCTTTAAAAAAACAAAAAACAAAAAAACAGTCACTTTAAATAGTAGATTGAGCTGACCACTAGTATGAAGCAGAGTTCATTTTGTCATACCTTGGAAAGAATAGTCCTTAGATCTGTTTTTGCACCACTTCTGATTAGAGAAGGCTCTATCCTGAGACTATAATGTGTGTTATGGAAGCCCTTTGAGATTCTTACACTGCTTTACATCTATTAAAGCAAGAGGATAAGCATTCTGGGTGAGTTAGCACAGTCTGGAGCATATGTACAGTCCGTGGGCTCCAAATGGGTATCTGAAGGTGAGTTGAGCACGGCTGCTGGAAGCCAGTTTTATATTCGTGTCGTTCCAATACTTGCTGTACTGAGAGTAGAAGATTTGCCTTGAGTTTGAACTTTATCTCTGTCCATTATTGGCAAGCGACCTTGGACAAATTGCCTAAGTTATCTATGCCTTTTTCTTTTCCTCTGTCAAATGGGTGTTGTGTGAGGTTTCAATAAGTTTATATATGTGAGGCACTTAGAATAACACCCAGCACCAAGTAAGTGCTCAATAAACATTAGCTACTTTTATTTTCTCCTTCTCTTGAAATTACAGGTTATGCTAACTGACTACTGACTCATTGTCCATTGATGCTTCTGGTTGGAGAGGGATTTATAAGAGAGTGAGAAATGTGCAGATGTGCCATTTGTCCACCCTAACTCTTATGTGTATCCATGCACAAAAGCAAAACAGGGCCCATTAAATGTTCAAACATTTATGAAGACTTTTCTCATAGGTGGCCTTTCTGGCTTTTAGGCAGATCAGTTTTATATTTAATATCATTCTGTCCTTTTGATGGTTGAATTCAAGCTGTGTTTATTATAGCTGACTCAATCCAGAGGTGAGGTGGTTGTATGCCAATCATATAAGACTACTGACAATGATCTATGGCAATAGTCATTTCTGCACACACATTGTGGTTGGCAAAATCCATATATTCTCTCGGGTGTGGGGCAGAACATCAAAATACCACTGCAAGTGGGAGGTGGGGCATTTACAAGTAGCAGATCATTGTACAACCATTTCCTGCACTCCAACCTCCTCTGACCTCAGCTACTTTTTAAAGCTCCTGATCCACAGCTCCTGTAATGAGCCATATCCCTAGCACCTCCCCCGTGCAGCTCCACTGGCCACTCCCTGTCTTGGGTGCTGGCTGCTGTCTGTCCCGCAGTCTTGCAAATTACACCAACTGAATCCAGGATCACCTTGTTGCTCCCTCTGTCAAGGACCCTGCAGTTCCTGCTGTGTATGTATTTAACATGCAGGGCACACACTTGTTTATTCATTCATCCATCAGGCATTTATTAAGGCCCACTATGTACTAGGCATTGCACTAGGCACTGGGGATACAGATGACTGAAGGTCTTGATAGCAAGGACCATATCTTGGACTCTAGCAGGAAGAGAAACACAGATGGATCATCACAAAGAAACATGGACTTTGAGCCTGAGTGCTTGGGTTCAAATTCTTATTCTGCCACTTACTTGCTGTGTGATTTTGGGCAAGTTGCTTAACTTCTCTATGCCTAGTTTCCTTACTTGTAAAATGGGGATCGTCCTTGTACTTACTTTATAGGGTTGTTGCAGGACTTAATATTTATGAATATGTAGGAGAATGCCTGAAACACAGTGAGTGCTGTATGAGTATTTGTTAAGTAAATAATTGCAGCAATAGAGACATACACAGGGTACTATAGGAGCACCTTGTCCAATTAGCAAGATAAAGATTTTGCTTTCGTTCAGCTCTGCCCCAGGTTTGGGGATCTCTTCCAACTCAGGAGAATAGCACAAAGAAAACAAGTCAGGCGGAGTTGGGCTGTTCAGCATCAGTGCAGCATTACCGCAGGCCAGCCTGTCCTGATCTTGTGCTTCGTTTCCAGTAATGAACTCTTTGTCTTGTTCCTTGTATCAGACTTTGACCTTGTATCTTTATTGTAGGAAATGGGTTTTTGTCCTCTTTTCCTGCATCCTTAGTTTCTGCTGCCTTAATTTCTGGTCAAGCCCTCAGTTCTTCTGGAGCAGAGGTTCTGCCTGGATCTTGCCAGTCTGCCCTTGCGCTTCATTCTCCAGGCAGGGTTCCCGCTCCCAGCCACCAGACCCTCTTACTGCCTGGATTTCTGAAAGTTACTTGCTCCAGGATTCCCTATTGCTGTGCTCCTGCCACCCATTCAGCCACTCACCTGCCTATCATTTCACACTCCTGACACTATGCCCTGCTCACCTGGCTGGTGTCTTCTAATCCACGCCTTCCAAGCAGCTGTCTGTCCCTCAGGGCAGTTGTTTAATCTCTGGTTTTATCATCTCACTTGTGACTTGTTCTGCCACCACTTAATCTTCCCAACTGACAGAAAGGTGGTGGCTAGGAAGAGGGGCTGAGTCAGTTAGCCGTTCTGTGTATTGCTCATGAAGTGACCTTGTTTAGTTGGCCAGTTCAAGGGAATTTGGGGTGTATTAGGAAGTAGCTTGTAATAAGTAACTGTGCATGGATGGCATATGTGTACTTTGGAGGGGGTTGTTGTACATGAAGTTCTCTATGTGAGCACTTTCCCTTCTTGATGCCCAAGTTAAGGACATTTCTTTACTATTGAATAATTTGTCTTCCTCAGTACCAGTCATGCATGTTATCCCACCCACTGCTGCCAAATTACTATAATGAAACCATAATATTGTGTTTCTGGCTTTAAAAATTCAGTTTTTTTTTTTCTTAAAAGAAAAACTTTTTTAGAGATATGGGGGAAGGTGTGTCTTACTTCTGTTGCCCAGGCAAGTTCAAGTTGCTGGACTTGAACTATTGGGCTCAAGGGATCTTCCTGCCTCAGTTTCCTGAGAGGCTGAGACTACAGGCATGAGCCACTGTGCCTGCCTTAACTTCAGTTCTTCCTACATACTTTTTCATTCTTAGTATCTGCGTATGGATTAAACCTTTCAGGAAGTCCTGGGTTTCCCCTCTACTTTCCCCCATTCCCTTTTTTTTTGCTTCTCAGAGTTTTCCAAACTTGAATATAGTTTAAATGCCAGCCCAAAGAATTTCTCTTTCCTTGGACTCACTTCTGTTGAACATGGCCGCTTTCTTCTTGGATGAGAAGATCTAATAATCTCCATTACAATAATAACCTCAAAGCTCCATTACTGACGAGGGTGTCATGAAAGTGAGTCAATAGTGGAAGTGAAATAAAGGCCAGAGTATAATCCCCTGCTTTCAGTGACATAACCTAATTTTCATTAGGCCCCATGTAGCTGCCTAATTTCCATTAGGCCCATGCTGATTTCTTTTAGCCCCATGCACAGAAGACCATCTTATTTTCCCTTCCGTTCTGTTTGGTACTTAAATTTAATTGAAAACTTAATTATAAGTGCTAGAAGTCATCTTCAGAGTATTTCTCATTTGTGAATTATTTTATTATCTATTTTTTATGGTACGCATTTATTTTCTTGATTGAAATAATTTTCATTTTAAATAGCCTCTGACATTTGCAAACGTTTTAAAGCACATTCACATATGGTATCTCATTAATTCTCACAACAGCCCTATGAGGGAGGAAGAACCATTATTATTCCTGCACTACAGATGAGGAAATAATGTGTGCAGAGAAAGATTGTCAGAGGATCAAGTGCATCGGAGGGGCACCGGAAGATCCAGGAGCTGCTTGCAGCTCTGGCATTTTTGACTACTAACTGTGCCTCTAGGCAAATTATTAATATTTAATCTCTTTAGGCTTATTTCTTCATCTGAAAAATAAAAGATTTAGATTTAGGCTTTTTTTCCAGTCCTAAGTCCGTATGATGTTTGTTTAAGCAGGTACATTCATATTTACCTTCCCTACTCAACCTCTGATGGGCGAGGAATATAAACGCATACACACACACACACACACACACACACACACGCACATACACACACACACACATACACACATGCACACACGTGTGCGCGCGCGCACACACATGCTCACATATGCATCAGGGACTCCTTTGGCCCCAAGAGTTGAGGCCAAGTGATCTCAAAGTGAGGGGTGCTGCTGGGCTGGGAGAACTAGGGAACTGAATGTGTGGCAAGAGATGATTTGTTCCTGAAAGATGTCATGGGTATTCTTGCGAGGTAGATGGCAAGTCCCAGCTGGGGTAGCTTTTGGTTCAGTTCAATGCAAATTTGGAGACATTAGAGGATGGGAGAAGGTTAGAAAAGTATCTCTCTTTAGAGATAAAGAAAGGTATCTCTTTAGAGGAAAAACAAACTGGACATCAATTTTGAAGATTCTCTGGATATTAATAGAAATGTGATAACCATTAGAATTATCAAAAAACCCCATCAAAACTCTCAGATTATAACTACTCTATAAATGCAAAATTGCGATGCCTTTTGAAAAAACAATGGATTTATTAATCATTGCATGAGAGTCTTGTGTAACATTTTGGGAAGGGGGACACTTTTTCTTTCTTTTTTGTGTTGGTTACAATGTTATGGGGCCTAGCACTCTGGCATGAGCATGTAATCCTAGCACTCTGGGAGGCGGAGGTGGGAGGATTGCTTGAGGCCAGGAGTTTGAGACCAGCCTGAGCAAGAGCAAGATCCCATCTCTACAAAAAATATAAAAATTAGCCAGGTATGGTGGTGTGTGCCTGTAGTTCCAACAACTCAGGAGGCTGAGGTGGGATGATCACTTAAGCCCAGGAGTTTGAGGTTGTAGTGAGCTATGATGACACCATTGTACTCCATCCTGGACTACAGAGTGAGACACTGTCTTAAAAAAAGGGGGGCCTGGTGTGGTGGAGTGTGCCTGTAGTTTCAGCTATTTAGGAGGTTGAGGCAGGAGGATCACTTGAGGCCAGGAGTTTGAGTACAATATTATGGTACTAATAATCAGAAATGGGCGTGACTATAAGAATATCTGTTGCAATGCATAACTTTGAAGGATTTTAATTCTAGTGTTCATACCAGGAGTCCTCAAACTTTTTAAACAGGGGGCCAGCTCACTCTCCCTCAGACTGTTGGAGGGCCATTGGAGAGTATGGCGCACATTCCACACATGTGCACTGTGGGCCCAGGACGAGTCAGCTGCTAAGCAGGACAGGCAGCGGCAGCAAAAACACCCGGCGGGCCGCATGTGGCCCGCGGGCGGTAGTTTGAAGACGCCTGGCTCATACCATGGTGTGTGTGTGTGCCTATATATTAATATTTTTAATAGTTAAGTTGCTTCTATTGATTACATAATGCTACTTATGGTATCTGCTAGAACCATCATATCTTGAACACTGGTAATCACTGATAGTAGCATGACAGAACCACTGGAAGACAGTAATTCTCAACTGTGGGCAAGGAGCCTGCCTACGTTATTTACCCTTGTCTCCCGAGTACCCAGTAATAGTAGGCCCTCAATAAAACTGTAGGTGAATAAACCATATTCCTCCTAAAACTGTAGCAATTATTGTAGTCATCAACAGTAGAAACATTTGCATGGTGCTACTGCATGGTGAGCAAAATATGAAACAACCTCTCTGTATGAGGTTAAGCTACCAGGGCTTCAGGTAGTATCTTCAATAATGTTATTTAGTGAATGTCATTCCTTTATTTCTGAGATCACAAAGCAGTAGAGTGTCTCTGGTTTTTGAAAGACACTGATAGTTTCTGTATGGGCGAGATTCCTACCGCTGCTAAAAATTTTGAAAAGTGAATTTTCCTTATAAAGGTTGGTGAGAATACCATAAGCATCTTAGTTGCTCCTAAAGCCTGAAGAAAGAACCAAATGTAAAATTGTCAGATGGAAATTTCCTGTGGTCACAGGTCGAGACTCCACAGAAGAGCACAGGGCACCAGCACCCCCACCTGCTGTTGAGAGGGGCAGGCTAACATCAGGGCCTGCTGACAGGTGCCCAAACTGTTTCTACAACCTGTGGCTCCCTCATCCACCTCCAACAAGAAACTCCTTGGGAGAATGTTTTTTTTTTAAATAACAGCTTCATTGAGATATAATTCGTATATCATCAAATTCACCTTTTAAAGTATATAATTCAGTGGTTTTTATATATAATTCAGTATATTAAAATTCCGTGTATTCACAGAGTTATGCAACCATCACCACTATTTAATTTCAGAACATTTTTGTCACCCCCAAAAGAAATCCTGTACTCATTAGCATTCACTCCTCATCTCTCATTTTCCCAGCCCCTGGCAGTCACTAATCTGCTTTCTGTCTCTATGGATTTGTCTATTCTGGATATTTCATTTGAATGGAATCATGCAATATGTGGCTTTTTGTCTGACTTCTTTCATTTAGGATAATGTTTTCAAGGTTCATCCATGTTGTAGCATTTATTATTATAGTATGCATATGGCTGATATGCTACATTTCATTTATTCATTGATCTATCGATGGATATTTGGGTTGTTTCCAGTTGTGGACTCTTATGAAGAATGCTGCTATCTTGGGAGCATTTGGCCTTTGTTCCCTGGAGTTGTGAGTGCAGAGTATGGAGTCTGCTACTCGCCTAGACATGAGCTTGGCTGGAGCTGCCCCTCAGAGCAAAGAGAAGAGAGGAGATTGCCGTAGGAGTAAGCTGCCATTCCATAGTAAGCAGGGTAAGCATTGTGTTTCCTGAAGACTATAGCGGACACCTTGGGAGATAGAGCCACCTTGAAAAGACTCTGCCCAAGAACGCTATTTGTATGGGGGATTGTTGTCTGAACAAGAGCTAAGCGAAACTATTAGTGGTCAGTAGGAGACAGTATATCATCCACCTAAGGGAAGAGGAAAGTGCTGGAAATCCCCAGTGGGGTTGAGAGTTTTTCTAAAGAACTCATATAAGCTTTCTACAAGAGAGAGTCAGCTGGCATTTGAAGAACATCTGACCCACAGAGCAAACCAATGGCCAAATAAAAACATTCCCAGCTAAATAATGAAGAACTTTTTACTTCTTTACTTCTCCTTTCTCCCTCAACTGGGGAGGAACAACAAATGACAGAGTGATTGGGGTGTGGCTGAATAATAATTGTGCCCCACTTCCCTATTGCAGGTTCCTGAGACCTGGTAAGACCTAACCTAAAATGTAGGGAAGAAGATTCAAAGAAGAGGAAAGAGTGAAGTTTTGATATTAAAGAAAATTGGACCGTATAATACCTTTGAATAAAACTGTTACAAAAGTGAAAAGCACTGGAAAAGTTATGCAGGTTGCTCAAGATATTGCCTGGGGTCAGAAAAGGGAGATTGGACAGAACAGGTTTGAAGCACAAGACTGGGAGAAAAGTAAAATAAAACTATATCCTGATTGCACCCTACAGAGTCCAGCCTGATTAATGAACAAGTTTTTGTCAGAGTAAATTTATCTATGAATTTGGACAGCTTGGTGCTTCTTTGGAGTGTGCTAGAGGTGCTTTGCTCTAATGGGATGTGGTATCTACCAGTGGGGCTGCCAATCCAAGGGCC